TTTTTTGTTGTTGCTGTTAACCTGTTAAGGAGTTATAGACAGCCTACAAACCAGAAAGTGTGAGTTACCACAAGTGAGCATAATATACTAGTACAGAGAGATGAAATGAACACGATCAACAGTGTAAAGAGGCTAAAATAATACTGAGATAAAATAGAGAGTGAGAAAAGAATGTATTGAAAATCAAGATCTTAAGAAAGAAAAAGAAGGCACATACACACATCACTGCAAGTGATTCTAAGCCATTTCGTTCATCAACATCTAGAGCGGAACCCAAATAGATGGTTTGGAACTACTAGTTCAAAAGTTAATGAGTTCATGGACCGAGAAAACTCAAACAGTGCATTGAGTAGTCATCTTAGCGCACAGAAGTTATGAATGGATTATACAAAAAAATTTGATCATAGAATTTTGTAGTAAGGCTAAATGGGTTAGAATTGGCTGTTTCCAAACTTTTTAGGATATTTTTGACATTGAAACCAGATTAAAGAAAATTACAGAATTTCGTGCTGTATTCAGTGCACTAGACTTCTAAAATGCCAACCGAACCTCGTTACTTCACTGTGGCTTAAAAATCACTGATTGATAGTCTAAAATACTAAAAGTAATGTTCACGGTCCGATCAAGTCAGCGAACTTCCCTGAAAAAAGTTTTTATTCGAAGTGTAAAAGTAATTTCGACACAGATTAAACCGGACATCATTGAAAAAAAGAATTTAGTCACAAGAGTAGTTCAAATGAAAAATCTTTAGTTTATTGACAAAAGTCTGTGAATTGAACCGTAGAAGAGGTGAATCAGTGGTCAAACGACTAGACTTTTACACATTGGGTCGCAGACTTCCGTACCACATGAAGGTACACAATACAGACTTGCTTACGTCTGTTACCCCTCGTCGAGGACCATAGACTGCCCGTCAGCATTCACTATCGAACTCTATCATAGAAAATTGTTTTCAATTGCTATTTGTCCTTTTCATATCCACTTCCAATTCCTGGTGCAGTGTGTTCTTGGGTCTTTCTCTTTTCCTTTCCTCATCAAAGTTCCAAGTTAGTGCTCGCTTCGTGATGCAGTTTGGCGATTTCTCCAGTGTATATCCTATCCATTTCCAGTATCTTTTCCTAACTCATCTAAAATCTTTTTCAAAACGGATCAATACACTTTCATCTCACATCGAATTTACAAACGAAAATGAACATGGTGAGCTGACATTTTTAGATTGTTTAGTGAAAAGAAATCTATATGGAATACATCTACCGAAAACCTACACACTTAAATCGTTATATTGACTTTAATTCAATACATCCATTCGGTGCAAAGATCTCACTAGCCCTAAATCTTTTCAGAAGAGCTAACAAGATCATCACATTGGAAAAAGAAAAACAAAAAGAATAAAAGAATGTAGTTAACATATTACAATTTAATAATTTTCCTATGTATTAAAACGAGACGTTTCACTGCTAAATAATAACTCGAATGAAATACCATGGATTGGTATTGCAGTTTTACCATACCGCCAATGGTACAACAGAAAAACTTCAAAGAATTAAAGTGTATTGCAAAACAACAAACATACTTCGAAATACTTTAATTCGCTTAAAAGTAAACCTCACCTTTATGTCAACATAGAACTGTGTCTACAAATTAGGATGTGTCTATTGTGATACCTTCTATATTGGAGAGTCATCTCGAGAAATCTTGACTCAAGCCAAAGAACATATTAGGTACACAAAAAAACACCTAATAATCCTGTAGAACTGGATAGACTTCAAATTAAATCGGCAATAGCAGTTCATACCATTCTTAATAACTATCAGTTCGATTTCAAAAAACATCAAAATATTCCAAAATGGTTTTTCCAATTACAAACAAAGGAGAGTAGCTGAAGCATTCCATATAATGCTTAATCCTATTGCTCTTAATAGAAAAGAAGGCCTTACTATACATCCAACTTGGACTATCTATCTAAGATACCATATCTGATATTATTCACATTTCACACTGTTATCGTACTTACAAATTATACTCAATCGTTTCTCAATATGAAGGTCAAATTTTTTCATCACTGACCTTGCACACGTACACAGATACAAATTTACATAAATGTCGTTTATAAATCACTCTGACCGGAAATGGCACGACATTGACTTGTTCCGTTCTGGTTTTTATAATTGATCGCACATAATATTCTTGCATTATTCTTTTGTACTATTTAAACTTGGCTTAATTTTGATTAGGTTATTTATTTACTCTCTGAAGAAGTAGCTTATATTGAATCAATACAAAGAATATTATCTTAGACAAACATTACAAAAGATGTTACCGGTTTGTTACTAACAAACAACTGTAAATAATTTTAATGGTTAAGACCACCATGGAAAACCTGGAAGCACTAAATGGCCGTTTCATCCTATTGTGGGACTCCTCAGTGGCAGTGCGCATCCACAATAGGACGAGACGGCCGTCCAGTGCTTCTAGGTTTTCCATGGTGGTCTAGCCTCAACTGTCTCATGATATTAACCATTGAAATTACTATAATATTCACAAAACCCATATGATATTAACTGTCAATAAATCAAGTGGATCAGAAAGTGTTTGAAATATAAACAAACGATGAATATACAGAATCCTATAAAACAAACAAGTCTAGAATGATATTAAAAAAGACTGATAAAACATTATGGCGTATTATAAGCAAAGATGGATAGTGGATAGCAGTGGAATCCAGTTTGACGCGCGTTTCGTCCTATTTGGGACTCGTCAGTTGGATGTACCTGCATCTCAGAGTTGATATTCACTCCGGGACTCGAACCTTTCAATTTATAAGATTCTTACTAGGATGTTCAATGATAAGATTTGATAGAAATGGTGTTGAAAACATATGGAAATTCTTCAATAATGGTTCTCTATTCTGTCAAAAAACTTTTGGTAATGTAATAAGACGACGAAGATTATCAGAACTATATGATGATATATATTAGTGCAATACATTTCGAACAATCTGATCACACATTACATACTTGTTAAGAACATTTATGTATAAAGAAAATGAAAGGTCAACTAGACTGGAAATGGGGGGAAGAGGAGACAAGGATAATAGTAAGAGTAGTAGTAATAATAATAATGTAAACACAATCCAAAACCTAATCACTCGATGAAATAATAAGTCATTATGACAAGGGTAGGCTTAAAGTGAGAACAAATTGATTGTGAATACACAAAGGGGGTTTCAGCTTTTGTATGGCTAAGGTTTCAATAAACCTTAATAAACATTATATGTTCTTAACAAGTATGTAATGTGTGATCAGATTTTTCGAAATGTATTGTGCTAATATATCATCACATAGTTCTAATAATCATCTTTTTACATTATCGAAATTTATCAAAGAGGCTAATTACATTAAATAAAGTTTTGGGTTTCAGTCAATCAGTAACAACGTAGACCTTCGTACGTACGTACATCAGTTCGAGTTGCCATACCACATTAGCACAGAGATGTAGTTGTCGATTCAAATCCCGTAGTGGTAGAGGTGGTAAGAGTATAAGCAGTAATCGGAGAGATTAGGGTTTGAAGATGTAATTCAAGGAGTATAATACAGTGGAATAAATTTGTAAAGAGAAAAAAGAAAGGGACATGAAGAATTCAGAAGATCGGAATTTGGGAGAAACTAAGGAGTGGATGCACCTGCGCCATTGCAAACGATTGTGGGCCATATCATCCAGGTTCTCTAACCATCGGTGGCTATCACCTCGCGGTCCCCAACCAGGTAGTCTAAACCTACCAACATGGCTCAGTTTTGCGTTTGAAATACTCAAGTCAAACCTGAATTATTAGATAACATCCAATTTAATATACTGAATGTCAAACTGTTTCATCGATGTCAATATATCACGGAGGCTTAACGTCATATAGTGCTTGAATTTGAAATATAAGCCGACTTATAAGTCTAAAGGTGATAGATTCGATCTTTTTAAAAGTTCTAAGTAGTCATTATTAGGAAGTCTCATATCAAGACGATATAATGAACATCTAATGTTCTTTGGGTTTTTGTGGAGAATTTAGTAATTTCAATAGTTGAATAGTTGACGGTGGCGCGATTCCGTGGATTGGTTGATGTTAGACATTAAACACTGTTGGATGCTGGCCGGCTCAGTGGTCTAATGTTTAAGCGCTCGCACGGGAGACTGATAGGTCCCCCGCGGGGGGCGGCGGGATTGTGGATGCACACTACTGAGGAGTCCAATACTAGGACGAAACAGCTGTCCAGTGCTTTCAGGTTTTCTATAGTGGTCTAGCTTTAATTGACTCATGATTTTTACTAATTATCTAGCTTAAGTTAGTCCATACTGCAGACTATCTTCAAAGATGTATAAAATAGGGTTGATATCTACAGATATTATTATGATCTGTTTATTTGACAAATCATTCTAGATTCATAAACATATTAATTAATTAATTTATTTTAACACATAGATATCGGTACAAGAAGGCACCAAATATATATGCGCCACACAGATCTCATTTGATATGTGTGAGGGCTGTGATACTGCCCGGGTGCCTAAATCGAAGCAGGTGGTTTTTATTAGGGGGCCACACTTCGAGCCTTCGACCTGAAGATCTGATCCACAAGGTAGTGAAGCATCGTAAGGAGATGCAGTCCCATGGTAGCCGATGACCAACGATTGTTTAATACACCATTCGTTCCTTTAGGATACTGGAGCCGATATGCACCATTGGTTTGGGACCCGCTTAAAGCGCTGGACATTCGCTTTTCATCCTCTCGTTTTCGTAAACAACACTCGTAGTACGAGAAGGCAGTGAGTAGAACTTCCCTAGCAGAGGCTATATACGCGTGGCTATATGAGAGCATTTCGAGGGGGAGGGCGGTCCCACCCCACTCTCGGCATTTGGGGGCTTATATGTAAACACATACGCACACACACACACACACACCGATACATAGACAAACAAACACTGATACTCATAACAATAACTGAATATATATTCACATTCAAAAATTTTATTTACCTGTATACTATTGTATGAACCTCCACAAAATAAAACACAGCAAACAATCAAATACACTTCAATCTCAAATAACTCAATCATTATAAACAAATAAATAAACAGAAAACCAGTGAAATAGATGATAAAACCAAATACACATTAAAATAAAATTGTTTGGTTAAAATATTCTATGAATAAAAAGTAAACTCATTTAAGACATATAAACGTTTAAATTCCTTGTTTCGTCTTTTTCCTCTTTCTTCTTCTTCAGAAAAATAAAGTTCATATTATATATGAATAATACTTAATGAATATCAGTTTTTATAGAATTGAAAAAAAAATGTATACATGATAGTGTATGATTAGATTATATAAGAGAAACCCTAGAAAATGTCTTTCCTGTATTATTATTATTATTATTATGATTCATTATTTGGTGTATCATAATATGCATCTAAATAGCAATGAGCTAATTCAGTGACAATTGAACGATCCGGTATCATTTGTGATAATCCATAAAGAGCAACCTTTAAATATTGATTAAAATAAGAAAGAGAATAAATGAAAATATAAAATACTTTTAAAGATGATATAATTCTTAATTAAGTATGGTAATTCATGAAATAAGATTTTACAAAAAAAGTTTATTCAATTGGATTATTTGTAATGAATTCTTTTAGGTACAATACTCTAAAATGCTTTGGTACGGTCGAGATTTGGCTGTCCCTCTCTCAAAATGTTCTCATATGGCTACTCATATACAGTACAACTGTCAGCGAAGTCCTACTCACTGACTTCTCTTGAGGTATTACTATTGTTTACGAAATTGACAGGACAAAAATCGAATATCCGGAGCTTTAATCGGGTTGGTGTATACGGAGGATCTCAGTTAGGGGAGTTGAAAAGTCCTAATTACAAACCGATGATGTATATGGGGTTCAAGAAACTTGAGGAAACAAAAGACGTATGAGCTTATTGTTGATCACCGTCTATCATGGGAGTGTATTTACTAACATTGCTCCATTGCCTTGTGGATCAGATCTTTAGGTTGAAGGTTCCAAGTATGACCCCCTAAGGAAACCATTTACTTCGGTTTGGGCACACGGACAGTATATCCCAGACCTTATACAAGTCGAATGATTTATGTGAAGCATATCTATTTGGTGCCTCGTTGTACCAATGTTTATGTGTTTGAATAAAATAAAATAAATAAAATACTTTTATCAATAATGAACTATAGCTTTGAGCCAAATCAATGTGTATCAATTAGTTTATTTGCTTATATGAAACAGGTTATATTGGCCACATAAATAAAACTGTTTTGAAACACATCTTCAAATATTCCTTTGATTAGCTCTTTAAACGATGGTGAAAGTCAGTCTAAAACTTAATTTTAGAGCATCTAATCAATTCTAGCTATTGAATAGACAATTAGTTCCATCTTGTTACTTTTTCACTAGCCGATTGTTACGTAACTTCCATTTAATATCTGATTTTCAAGTCTAGACAACATACCACTTCAAGGCTTTTTAAAAAATTAATTAATACCTTTCTATCTCCCTACAGAACACTATTTTAGCAAATAACATTGACTATACATACAACTGAAAAATTTCTTCACTAAAGTGCCATCTTTGTTTTTCAATGATGAACTATTTATAAATTTACAGTCAGTCAATCACAACGCAGAACCTGATACATAGTTACATAGGTTCAAGTTGCTATACCCTATTTTATCACAGAGAGATCAAATTGTCAAGGTGAATTTCAGGATAGTGGAGGTAGTAACAATAAGGTCACTTCACATACAGGAATGAATACAAGAGGTAGGTTACAGTTAACGATTTAAAAATGACTTGTTCGATATTTTGGTTTCAAGGCTTAATTATCTTCAATGATACACAATGATAAAGAGACTTAAATTAGGATGATATAATTATTAAGGGCTCTTCACATATCGTATCAACTACGCCTGGAGTCCCTCCGGGGGCTACTTCCAGTCCCATGCCCGCCATAAAGGAGGAGGGTTAAGCACCGGGTTAGCGACCACATCCTGTAGAAAACTTACTTGCTAAAAACGTACATATCATATCATTTCATGATTAAAACAATATCGAAAGTTTCGTCAATTCTTTTCAAAAGTGATATTGAAAATTTAATTATATCAGAGGTCATGGTCAAGTTATTGATTACGATAATCGGATATTACTTCAATAGAAGATTGAGAATGTGTATGACTAAAGGTTTTGAAACAATATTTACAACAAACTGTTCGTAAGTATGTTTTTTTGGTAAGCTCAATCGAAATCAGTTGGAAAAGTGATTCCTTCAGTTGAATTCTTGGAAATTTTCTTTCTAAGCGCATATATTAACTTGAAATAGTCAATTCTCAAGGTTACCTACTTCAATTCTTATGATAAAGACTAAAAGCTTTTCGATTGCAATGATTGGTGAAAAGATCTGTAAATAATTTTTTAAAGTATCGTTTACTTTCATATTCCCTTACGGTAGAGAGAATAATTACCACATGAAGTTCACTCTTCAAGGTTTTAAAAAGCGTGATGGGCTTCCCGATGTGTATACTTATGTATATGAATTACATAGGTCTTGGCTTTTGAAGTCATGTATGTAGGCACATCCAAAGGGTACGCTCCAGGCACGCAATAGGAACGTAAGCTGGAAAAAGTATCTGTCTTATATCTAATAAGATCAGTGGTCTAAGCCAATGAGGTCGAAAACGTAATAAAAGGATATGGTGGCAAATACTAGAAGCAGTTGACCATCAACCTTTTTTGAAACAGTGCTTATGATTATGTGTATGTCATGAAGTGCAAGGGTAAAAGCCCTTATACCAGTGATATGCATGTAAAGTGCAAGTGACAGTCAGTTGTAGCAAATACGTTTGAAGGGAGTGATGACCATCTACCCTCGTAGGTAAATACACCTATATGTACGTTACGGGATACATGAGTAAAAACTTGTGTACCACCGGTGTGCATGTAGAGTATATTTTCACTTGGTGCAATGCCCGCATTATTTATTATTTATTTATTTTAACACATAAATATCGGTACAAGAAGGCACCAAATACATATGCGCCACACATATCTCATTTGATATGTGTGAGGGCTGTGATACTGTCCGGGTGCCTAAATCGAAGCAGGTGGTTTTTCTTAGGGGGCCACATCCTGAGCCTTTGACCTGAACGTCTGATCCACAAGGCAGTGGAGCATCGTGAGGAGATACAGTCCCATGGTAGCCGGTGACCAACGATTGGTTCATACGCCATTTGTTCCCGCAGGATACTGGAGCCCATGTGCACCATTGGTTTGGGATCCGGTTAAAGCGCCGGACATTCGCTTTTCGTCCTATCATTTTCGTAAAGAACACCCCCACCACGAGAAGGCAGAGAGTAGGACTTCCCTGGCAGGGGCTGTATACGCGTGGCCATATGAGAGCATTTCGAGAGGGGGAACGGACTCTCCCCACTCTCGGCCGTACCAGGGCATTTGGGTGCGCAATGTCCGCATACCAAGACCGGGAAGTCTTGACGATTTCTCAACTAAATCACTTCCACGTGATGGGTTCGTGAGCCTAGGAAAGTGTATTCTAATCCAGATACATCTATGGGCTTTACTAATTGAGGTTTCATCAACCTAAAATGGCTGGAAAACCGCACCGTATAGATGCTATTCTATGATAACTATGATCAAAATAAATAAAGTGTATTTCTACCCGTAATTTCATAAATAATGTTCTAGCATCAGAACTACTTATTCTTCTTTAAAGCTCAGATGAAAAGGGATAGCAGTTTTTTTACTTAACCACTTCGTAGTGTAGCGTAAAATATTAATATAGACGAAAATCTATCCAATAATATCATCATCACTGGGACTTACACTATCAACTACCATTACATTTAAGGATTCAATTTTAACTAGGCGACAATAGAGCAGAGGCCGCTCACCAGCATTCTCCATCCAACCCTGTCTCAACCAATCCTTTCCAGATCTTTCCAGTTCTTATTCATTCTTTTCATATCCGCTTCTATTTCCAGACGTAATGTGTTCTTTGGCCTTCCACTTTTCCACTTCCCTTCACGATTCCAAGTGAGGGCTTGCCTCGTAATGCAGTTTGATGATTTCCTCAATGTATGTCCTATCCATTCCCATCGTCTTTTCCTAATTTCCTCTTCAGATGGAAACTGGTTGGTTCTCTCCCACAAAAGGCTGTTGCTGATGGTATCCGGCCAATGGATGTTGAGTATCATGCGTAGACAGCTATTGATGAATACTTGTACATTCTTGATGGTGGTTGTTGTGGTTCTCCAAGTTTCAGCTCCATACAATAGAACTGTCTTGATGTTCGTATTGAAGATTCTAACTTTGATATTGTTTGATAGTTGTTTTGAGTTCCATATGTTCTTCAGTTGAAGGAATGCGGCCCTTGCTTTGCCAATCCTCGCTTTTACGTCTGCATCTGATCCTCCTTGTTCATCGATGATGCTTCCCAGGCATGTGAAGCATTCTACATCTTCCAGAGTTTCGCCATCAAGAGTGATTGGATTGCTGTTCTCTGTGTTGTATTTGATGGCCTTCGTTTTCCCTTTGTGTATGTTGAAGCGTACTGATGCAGAGACTGCTGCTATGCTGGCTGTCTTTATCTGCATTTGTTCGTGTGTATCCGACAGGAGGGCTAGGTCATCTGCGAAGTCCAAATCGTCTAATTGGTTCTGAGCTGTACATTTTATGCCGTGTTTTCCTTTAGATGTCGAAGTCTTCATAACCCAGTCGACCACCAGAAGAAAGAAGAAGGGAGAGAGTAGACAGCCTTGTCTTACTCCGGTCCTAACTTTCAATGCATCTATCAGCTGTCCTCCATGCACTACGTTGCACTGTAGTCCGTCGTATAAGTTCCGGATAATATTGACAATTTTCTCAGGAACTCCATAATGTCAAAGAACTTTCCATAACGTTCTCTTATATTTAACTCATTTACCACGTACAAATTTATATAATTAGCTTTAAGTCAAACTTTGAATATAAAAGTTATCAATATCAACCAGTTATGTAAACACTCAGGGATCAAGGTTAGGACTTGATGACTGGATATTGAACATTTTAATTCTTGAGCTACCTTCTTATGTGAAATGACAATAGAACAAGAACAACAAACAAACAAAAAAAACAACCCAACTTACTGAACCTTCAGATTTTTTATTTGGTTTTATCATTAATTCTTTAACAATTTCTTTAACATCTTGAATAAATTGTTCTGCACAACCTTTCATGGTATGCATATCTGTAATACATAAATGTATTGCTGGTGGAAATTGTAAATTATTTAAATTCCAACCACGTCCATTTGGTTGATTGGATAATAAATGACTTAATTGATAAATATCAAAATGATTTGAACTAAATGCTATAATGGAAACATTTGGTTCACCAAGTATAAATATACCCGGTATTTTACGTAATCTAAATGTAAAATAAGAACAAAAAATAATTTATAAATATTCTAATTCAGATAAATCTATAATGAATATAATATTTAGAGATGAAACTAATCTTTATAAAAATCTCTTCAAATAAAAATATATTGAATGCGCACTGCTACTGAGGAGTCCTACAATAGGACGGAACGGCCGTCCAGTTCTTCCAGGTTTTCCATAGTGGTCTAACATCAATCGGTTCATGATCTCAATCAAGAAAAAAAAAACTTGACAATCTCCACAACATTTAAATTGATATTTGATAGTTAAAGACAATAGGGTGGGGGATACACTTCGTGCTTTAGGTTTTCTACTAATTAACATTGGTCATTATGGTGTGTATTTGAAATATTAAAGTAACCGATAATCTTCTGTGGGATCTAAATATGTGTTACCTAGCTTCACAGTTTGAAATGTTACTGCTGAACTATTCAAGCTATGACTAAATTTCTTGTTCGAATCTTATAAAGAGTATCGTTTATATCAAGCTGCTAAGTAATCTTTGTTGAAAAATATGAACTAGTACAAAATCGAAGTGAAGTAATTTATTATTATTTATTTATTAATTTGAACACATAAATATTGGTACAAGGGGCACCAAATATATATACGCCACACAAAAAAATAAGTAATTTAAAGAGAAGGGAAGAAAAAAACAATAACGACCAGATTAGTGTAAGATAGTGTAATGTTAGTAATAATGGGGGAAACGAAAAGGTACAATCAGAAGAAATCTTTCAGTTAAGGAAGAAGCAACCACCCCAGCAAGGGAGTCGTGACAGACCAACACAAGCCAGCCCTTTGCAGCTTTCTTTCATACCACAACACCATGTCATACACTGACCACCTCTCCGCTTTTTCCAACCAGTCCCAGAGTCGGCAAATAATGCACGACGAGGAATTCACTGGGACGACATTCGTAGAACATGTCCAAGCTACCGAAGTCGGTGTTTCAAGATGGTGACACCAATTGCATTATCGTCTCTGTGCCCGAACACACGATGCCGAACCTCTGCATTACTGACATAGTGTTGCCACTGGATGCCAGCAATCCTTCGGAGACAACGATGATCAAACACAGAGAGTCGTCTAACATCCTCAACTCGTAGAGGCCAGGTTTCACAAGCATAGAGCAAAACTGCTCTCACCGACACGTTGTAGATCCGACCTTTTACAGCCAGACTAACATCATGAAGGCGCCAAAGATGGCCCAGATTGGCATAAGCCGCTCTGGCTTTCACTATACGTGCATTGATCTCATCACTCACACCACCACCAGCACTTATGCAGCTACCTAGATACACGAACTTCTCGACTACTTCTATCTGCTCACCGTCCAGAGTGAGTACAGGATTAGAATCCTGCCAGTCTTGTAGAAGTACTTTGCACTTCGAAGGTGCAAAGCACATACCATACCTACAGACACTGATTGCCAACTGATTAATTGCGGATTGCAAGACTTGGGCATTCTCGCACAGTAAGATAATATCATCCGCATACTCAAGGTCGAGAAGTCTTTCTCCAGGCAACAGATTCACACCACCATTACTTACATTCATCAGAGCTTTTTCCAGAATGTCATCGATGGCAAAGTTGAAGAGGAATGGTTAGATTGGGCAACCCTGCCTAACCCCACTGCTCGAATGGAACAATGGAGAAAGGTGGTTGTATGCCCTCACTCTGTCTGAGGTGTTTGTGTATAGGGCTTTTAGGATTTTAATAAACTTCGCAAACACACCCAGAGAACAGTTGATCCAATGAATCGAAGGCAGCCCTGATATCAAGAAACACTACGATTGTTGGCCTTTGATAAGTATGGCGGTGTTCTAACATTTGGCGGAGGGTGAAGATATGATCAATACATCCTCGACCAGAACGAAACCCAGCCTACTCCTCGCGAGTTAATCTTTCTCGGGTTTTGAACAAATAAACGAAGTATAACGGAAGTCCATAGCTTGGACGCAATCGGAAGTAGACCTATCCCCCGATAGTTGTTACAGGAACGACGCGAAACCTTTTCAAAGATAGGGACAACTATCGACTCATTCCATGACGTTGGTACACTCTCTTGTTCCCAGACCTTTGCAAACAACGTCGTCAGTCCCTTAATCAGAAAGTCACCACCATCTTTAAAAAGAGCCAGAGATAAGTCATCTGGGCCCGGTGATTTGCAACATTTCAAGAGTTGGAATTCCTTGCGGACTTCCGCCTCATTTGGTGGATCAGTCGTCACCGGCCATGGAGGGCAGCACAGTCTGACCGATGTTGCCTGAGCAGCAGGCCAGTTGAACTGCCCTTCAAAGAATTCTGCCCATTGTCCAAGACGTCGATGGATGTTAGTGATTGGCGTTCCGTCATCCTCGCAGATTGTTTCGCTCACACCAGACTTCTTGCTGCCAGTGGCTCGGATGAGTTGGAAGAGCTTCCGATAATTACCAGATGCAGCTGCTGCTTCCAGCTCATTAGCACGCTCCGACCACCAGGTTTCTCGGTCCTTACGCAAGCTCTGCCCGATTTCATTACGTAACATCCTTCGTCTGTGGTCAAACTCACAGTCAGCCGGAGTAGACCGACGGGCTTCAATCAGTTGTAAGGAACCAGAAGAAATCCAGTGCTTATAAGCGGGACGTTTCGCGAATCCACAACAGACTTTAACTACCTAAACGACTCTCTTCTGTGCCTAGACGCCAGACCTGAGCATTCAAGTCTCCAGCTAGTACTACAATATCTGTCGAACGCACTTTCTGGAGAAGAACAGTTAACTGGTGGTAGAACTCATCCTTGATTGCATCCGGGCTGCAATCTGTCGGGGCATAGGTGGAGATGACGAAAAGACATCGTTTCTCACGCCGATTTCTTCTCACTTTGATGGTACTTTCTATTCTAACAGCACATAACCGACTGTTAATTGGGACCCAATGGATTAGTGCTGCCCCAGCTCTAGAGCTTAGTACGACACCAACGCCAGCAAGGCCAGACGAAGATACCACAGGGTCCCCGGATAAACGCACGTAGAACAAGCTTTTTGAAGCGACAGATGGAGAGCGAATTTTTAGTGCTTCACCAGAGTCCTGAATACAGGTCTCGGATAGACAACAAACGTCGATATTAAGACTTTTCAAGGACATAGCCAGCCCTATCTGTTGTCCGACCTGCATAAGTGTGCGAACTTTGAAGGCAGCCAGTTTGAATGGTGCAAGTGGTTTCAGAAAAACTGCCTCACTACTCGTATTCGGTGGTAACATACAATTTTAAACCAGAAAGTGACTCGAGAACGTTTAGATAGAGCCGAATTTCCACCATAGGCGAGCTGCTGTATAAGTTGAAAAATAAGGATAGATAGAGTAGCAATAAAAGGGAGTGAATAAATGACGTAGTAAGTAATAATAATAACAATAGTAATAATAATAACAATGCGAGTTATTTGATTGTTAATTGGGGCGAAAAGAATATTTTCCATTAGTAGACTGTTCATCATGTTTTTGTGTGTGGGCTGAGATACTGTCCGGGTGCCCAAACCGAAGCAGGCGGTTTCCTTAGGGGGCCACACACCGAGCCTTTGACCTAAAGGTCTAACCTACAAGGCAGTGGAGCATCGTGAGGAGATGCAGTTTCATGGAAGCCGGTGACCAACGATTGATTCATACGCCATTTGTTACTTCAGGATTCTGGAGCCCATGTGCACTATTGGTTTGAAATCAGGGTTCCCCAACTTCCCTAAGTGGACTGTCTGTATCCACTAACCCGGTTAAAGCGCCGGATATTCGCTTTTAGTCATCCTAATTTCGTAAACAACACCCCCACCACGAGAAGACAGTGAGTAGGATTCCCCTGGTAGAGGCTATATACTCATGGTCATGTGAGAGCATTTTTAGAAGGAGAGAAAACTCTCTCCACTCTCGGCCGTACCAGGGCAATTGGAGAAAATAGCAGCATATATAAAATACATTATAATACATTTCAATATACAATTAGTTTACGTCTTTGAATAGTAACAAAACTTGATACTGATGAATAAAATTCCTTTATAACTTACAACACAATTATTTTAAATATAGAAAATTGTTGATGAACCTTTAAAAATGTAATAAACTTAACACAACTGAAAAGAAATTGAAGAGTAAGATATTATTATTATATCTAAAGCTTAGATTCTTGCTATACTGCATACACAATTTGAGCATTCAAACGCTTGAATCCTTCAAGTTGAAAATTAGAAGACGAGTGAAAAAGAATCTAATTCCAATCAGTGTCAAGTATAGCACAAAACATTCAGATATTTATAGTAAAAACAAAATCATCATTACAATCATCTAATCCACATGTAATGGTTTTTAGCATTTGTTCAATTGGGAAGCTATACGTCGAGATTCTGAAATGTTCTTCCAAAAAAAAATCATTGAATGGAATGTCTTCGGCTCTTTTAGAGTTTCTTTGAGTTCACTAAGGGGACGCTTCTACATTAACATGGAATACTTTTTAAATGATATTTGTTTAAGTTAATAATCTCAAATTTCACTGTTCCTGTTGCAAACATCAATCGATTGTCGCAGATTTCATTGTTCATACATTTTCATACGAATTGCGTTCCGTTCCGTTCCGTTTCTTTTCTTTCCTTATCGACCTTCTATTGAAATATATTCTATGCTTGGCCACCATTATATACTACTTGTGTGGATATAAGTAACTCACACCACAATATTATTGTGTATAAAAATTAGTATATAAATGATTGAATTCACTTGGTGTTGTTTTACTTGTACCTTCCCATTGTTATTTAGGACTGTAATTGATCAGTCTTATGTTGGCATATATGCATCCTGTGCGGATAGCCTCGATATAGTTTTAAGTATTGTATTTTTGCCTAATGAAAATGTAATTTTGAGACTTGTTTGGCAACATGTTAATAATTTACGCAAACCATAACATTTGAGGTCTAACTATCAGCAGTATACTATTCAATCTATGACCAGAAATTCAATGATTCAAACATTTCATTATAAATCTTCTCGTAATAAACCATGATCAGTGATGCCATATAAGGTTATAGGTACTTAATATATGAAGATTTTAGGCAAAACAAGAAGAAACTAGACTACCATGGAAAACCTGGAAGCACTGTACGGCCGTTTCGTTGTAGTATGCGACTGAGCAGTGCGCATCCACGATCCCGCCCCCCGCGGGATTCGAACCCAGGACCTATCAGTCTTGCAGCAGGCGCTTAACCAACTAGACCACTGAGCCGACCGGCATCCAACGGTGTTAATCTTTCACTTCAACCAATCCACGAAGTTGTGCCACCATCGTGGATGCGCACTGCCATTGAGGAGTCCCACAATAGGACGGAACGGCCGTCCAGTTCTTCCAGGTTTTCCATGGTGGTCTAGCTTAAAATGACTCATGATTTCAACTATTGAAATTACCAATTTTCCACAAAACCCTTTCTGATAAAGAAAACAACAACAAAGTAGCCGAAAATTATTTTTTGGTTTCTTATGATTTATTAATTGAATCGTGAAACGAATTACTATTAAGTTACTGTAAATAATCAGTTCAATCGATACAGATTTAATAACTATAATAGGAATAATTTAGCTTACTCATTTATAATATAACGAGTAGTACTGATGATACGCTTAGTAGATTTACAATAACCATTTTCTCCATGATACATCATTGTCGCCCAGCAAGTAGCAATTAACGCACCAGGTCGACTTCCTGAAAGTATGAAATATATATAAGTGGGAATAACTTCTTGGGAAAAAATCTAGAAAATATTAAGTGGAATAGAGTAATATTAACATTCAAACTAAAGAATCCAAGTTTTTATCATTCAGCGGTCAAACAAACAAACAAACAAAAGAATGGAATAGTTTGTTAAGAGGTACCCATTCCCCCCTCCCACCTACATTCGCTAATTTATAACTAGCTTAAGAAAAGAGACGGACTAATACAAATCTTAACTGTATAATATACATTTACTCAACAAATTTTATTGAATATTGATAGAATTTCCAAAAGATCTATCTATCTATCTATCCATTTACGGAGAGTTGATATGACATAACCAGAAGAAAGTGATTAATCATTGTCAAAGTAATTTATATAATAATCTTGTCCTTCAAATGGATAAGTTTGAAGTTTCGATGTTACTGAGGGAAATATAATTCGCTGTTGAAAAAAAAATTCAGATTAAAAAGGTTTATCCAACAAGAATCATTGACAAAATTATAAAGCTGAATCCTTACACAATTGTATTGAAGTAAAAACTTAACATGATTATTACAATTATAAGCAAAGATCGATAGTGGCTATCAGTGGAATCCAATTTAACGCGCGTTTCGTCCTATTTCGGACTCGTCAGCTGGATGTACCTGCATCTCAGAGTTGATAATCACTCCGGTAAGGACTGGAACTCAGTACTGTCCGCTTCAAACGTCATCGCGTTATCCACTTAGCTACTGAGTCCTGACAGCCACTTGCTTGTGCAATTGGGTGGAGTTTGCACAGTAATGCACATATACCAATAAGAGACTGAACAATTTTAGTCCTAAACATCAATGGGAAGACTCAAATAAAACAATATCAAATGAATGATTATTACAATTATTGATAATTCTGATGCTAGAAGTTTAAACATAATTATTTTAAACTTCCATAAACAAACATTTTCTAACAATGTGTAGAGGCCAATTTCGTATGTTCTAGATCATTTGCTTCTTCAGAGACTAGTATATTGGTCGTTCAATGGAATGGATTATCTATCAAGATTCAAAAACTTCTTAAACAATTTCAAATAGATATTAAACAGTGACTAATTAGAGGAAACCTGTTGGGGACGTTAGATTCCCAGAACTCACTTGGAAAAGGTCTTAATTTTGTAATTTTATTTTGAAAATTTGAACTTACTTGTTTTCGCGCCAAAAGCGCTCTTTTAACCTTCATGTCTTATTTCCCACTTAGGAGAATCTTAAACGCTATTGGTCCGTTGTGTCTTTTAGTATGTTATTTTGTAACGCTTCCCAAGGACCGTTTTGTGCTGCATATATATACGTTTTGATTTGTGTCTGTTGTGATCTTTCGTGCTTCTAGCTTTTTGTGGAATATAGTTCCCCGTTCGGACATTGACTTCTCTCTCTAGTTAGTGGGGCTGGGACGCAATAGAATAGCTAGTTTATTGGTCTTTGGTCACAAGTCTTTGTTCCGTTCGCAGACTAAGTGAACTCGTAACCGCTTCAAACCTAGCGAAACCCAAGCGTTACTAGAAGTGTGTATGTGCTTGATTCTTTACAGATGGTTACATTGTGAAAGGATTTGTTTCATTTCGAGTGGTTTGAAGGTGAAAAGAGGTTAATATTCGCGACTTATTCAAACCGAGATCGTAATTGAAGAGCTACTTGATGACAATCACGCAAAAAGGATTTTGACTTATTTTTTATGTGTTAGCTCTATACTTTTTAAACCTTCTCAGTAGCGCAAATTAGCTCTTGGACTAGTGACTTAGCTCTTTCAGTCTTACCTCTTTCCAATCAATCAATCTGTTTAATATGGGTGAACCCTTAAGAAGTTAAATGCTTCGGAAAATTTAGCACCACTAGGTCAGCACTAATGTCAATCCGATCATCGAGTCCAAGTTACAGGTATAGTTATACAAATTTTAAAGGTGGGAAACTTTATTCCGATGAAAGGTTTGTGAAAAATTTTCAATTGGAAGGTATTTTATATCATAGATTGACTTTGTTTGGACAACCGTTAAAAATCAAGGATAACTGGATAGCTATTTCATCCTAATATGGGTCTATTGAGGAGTGTTCACTCACAATCCATCTAGGTACTAAATTCAGTACCTCCAAACCTCATGGCGACTATATTTCCTCCGGACAACTGAGTTGAGGATCAACAGGTCTGTTTATCCAACTACAATCAAAATGAGAGACCTAGAAACGTTTGATTCGATTCCTGGCTGTTGTAAATCCCTTATTTATTTATTTGAACACATAAATATTGGTACAAGAGAGAACCAAATATATTTATTTATTTATTTGTTTTAACACAAATATTGGTAAAAGGAGGCACCAAATATATATGCGCCATACAGACCTCATTTGATATGTGTGAGGGCTGTGATACTGACCGGGTGCCCAAATCGAAGCAGGTAGTTTTCTTAGGGGGCCACATCTCGAGCCTTCGACCTGAAGATCTGATCCACAAGGCGGTGTAGCATCGTAAGGAGATGCAGTCCCATGGTAGCCGGTGACCAACGATTGTTTAATACGCCATTTGTTCCTTCAGGATACTGGAGTCCATGTGCACCATTGATTTGGGATCCGGTTAAAGGTGCCGGACATTCGCTTTTCGTCCTCTCATTTCTGTAAACAACACCCGTGGTGTGAGAAGTCTGTGAGTAGGACTATCTGGCAGCGGCTATATACGCGTGGCCATGTGAGAGCATATGGAGAGGGAGAGCGGACTCTCCCCACCCTCAGCCATACCAGGGCATTCGGGGGCTGATTAGACTCCAAGATAAGTGAAGTTGTCAACGCGTTCAACTACTGCACTCCCTATCCTTGGTTCAGGTGTTGACGCAGACTAGTCCTAAAGCGACAACGTGCATTTAGAGGGAGAGTAGCGCATTCCAAACATTCTGGACAGACTTATTCACTCTAACTAATTATATTCACTTTCCCAAACTGAAATATACTTTATTATTTGAATTCATTAACAGGATACACTCATAAACACATTATGAATTGAATCCTCAAAACATCCAAATCTTATACTAACCGTTGAGTTCGAGACTAGATAGAAACATATGTTTGTTACTCCCTAGTTTTCAATGATCATCAGTTCTTGATTTAGACTATCATCAAATTATCTATCTTTTTGAATTCTCTTATATTAATCTATTTAATAGTCCTTTGATCAGGAATAAAATTGTCCACATAGTATAAACAGAGAGAATCATTAAAAATGTTAAGATATTTAGGAATGAAATATTTCAATAATTGAGATCATGAATCTAGACCACCATGGAAAACCTGGAATCACTGGATGGCTGGCTCAGTAGTCTAGTTGGTTAAGCACCTGGCGCGAGACTGATAGGTCCTGGGTTCGAATCCCGCGAGGCGGGGTCGTGGATACGCACTGTCATTGAGGAGTCTCATAATAGAACGAAACAGCCGTCCAGTGATTCCAGGTTTTCCATGGTGGTCTAGCTTCAATTGAATAATGATCCCAATTATTGATATTACTATAATCTCCACAAAAAATGAAATATTTCAATAATTCAGATCATGAGTCAATTCAAGCTAGACCAAACAACTTCGTTGTTCTATGTACTATCTCTGGTTAATATTAATTTATCGAAAACGTACACTTCAGTATTTTCATAAGCTGAGCTTGGTATTTGGATACTTTTCATTCACTACAAATCTGTTATTTCTCGAATTCATTTCAAGAATGTTTCTGAGCCAAATATTTCTGCATTGAACTAACAGTCTCGTTTGTAAACTATAGAAGGTTTGGTTTATTGATCGCTGATGCGATATAAAGTTATTTAAAGTGGTGACTTGAGTTATTCGGTACACTGTCGACTGATATGCTAGAATAATTTTAAACGGTTTCTTGGTATAATCCAAACTAAATATTCTAATATAAATTCTCGAGGACAGAGATTTTAATTATATATATATCAGTCAGACAGCTACAACGTAGGACCAGACACATATATGCATCGGTCCAAGTTGCCACACTTCATTAGCACAGCAAGACGAACACCGGATTCATAGAAGCAGTTAACTCAAAGATTTAATATATAAAGGAAAGATTTTATGTAAGGATATAGTAAAAGAAGAAAGAATTAGTTCGTAGAAGGCATAAAGTAATCATAGTTTAAGGGTAGACAAAGAGTGTATACACCTAGGACATTGTGATCGATTCTAAACCATGTCACACAGAGTCTCCAACCATTGGTTACGATAGTCACGCGGACCCCAACCAAGTAGTCTGCATCTACCAACATGGCTCAGACTAGAAGTTAGTGCCTTTAAGCACTAATGCCACGTTTTGGTTTGGCCACCCCTAATTTTCTTCTAATTATCCTTAACACCAGTTAGCATTGCACGTCGTGGTAATCGGTGTTCAGGCATACGCAATACGTAGCCCAACTATCTCAGTTGATGAAGATTCACAACCTCATCAACTAATTTACCGTCATTCCCTAGTACCCTGCGTCTAACCTCACTATTACTTACCCGGTGATCCCAGCAGATCCCAGCAATATTTGTAAGGCATCTGTGGTCAAATACTTGTAGCTTACGAGTATCTTCTACTCTTAAAGGCCATGTTTCGCAGCCGTATAGTAGAACGGAACGAAATGCCGCGCAGTATACTCGACCCTTTATTGATAGACGGATATCAGGCCTGCGCCATAGATGACGTAAGTTGGCAAAAGTCAAACGAGCTTTTCGAATCCGTGCTGAGATTTCATCAGACACCAACCCATTAGGGCTGATCAGACTTCCAAGATAAGTGAAGTTGTCAACGCGTTCGACTACTTCACTCTTTATCCTTAGTTAAGGTGTTGACGCAGACCAGTCCTGAAGCAACAACTTGCATTTAGAGGGAGAGAAGCGAATCCCAAACATTCTGGCATACGCAACAAAGAAAAGAAAAACCTAAAACTGTTCAATGACAATTAAAAGTTTATTGATGTTACCGGTAAACATGTTTATGTAAACATAATGCTTCAACACTAATAATAACAACAACAGTTATATAGGAATCAGAAAATTATTGTGTATTTTTAACTGTCATAATTTATAACTTATAAAAGTGTTAATATTATAAATACTACTACTACTACTACTACTACTACTACTACTACTACTAATAATAATAATAATAATAATAATAATAATAATAATAATAATAATAATAATGAGGATAGTAATTAAGAGTTGAACATACCTGGTAAAGTTGATGAAGCATATATACCACCAGGCCAAGTTGTCTGTGTAAAGTATTGTTTCGATCGGTAATATTGATTTCTATACATTATAACAGATGTGCCTTTTGGCGCAAACCCGTACTACAAAGAAAGGAATGGGTAATGAGTAGCATTAATAATAATAATAATAATAACAATAATGGGTGGATCTTAGTCTAATATCTTGTACAGATTAATTATGATTGACAGACAAAATTGTCTGGATAAGAAATGGCCCAAAAAAATAATAAATAATATCGTTCAATAATTAACAAGTATAAGTTCATATATGGTTAGTTTTAAGCTACAATTTCGATGAATAGAATGATAATTATGAATGGCTATAGAAAGAGTTTCAAATTTCTACGTCAGAATGTGAGTTATCTACATGACAACAACAAAAGAAAATTCATTTCTTCTAATAACAATGATTAAGATCAATTCAATTTAAACTAAAATCGAATCATATAAAATAATGTAGTAGACTCTATTCACAAAAATGTTTGTAAATAGTATGTAGCGGAACGTGGAACCAAATTGGTAACAACTGTCAAGCAGAGTGACAAGTTTCAGTGCATCAAAAGTAAAGTGTTGGCAGAACACTCTGAGACTAAACAAAAAGACAGTTCAGATGACAGAACACATTAAAAAATGCAAATGAACGATTGGAGGTTATGTATATGTATTATCGAAATACTTTGTAACTTCTCGGAATAAATATACATTTCTCCTGCCTATTGTGTAAATTCTTCTAAAAGATTTAACAATTCATTATTTCATCTAAATTCTATGTACTTCAATAGTGTGCACCTACGACACTGAATACAATCACATTCGAGTAATGTAAAGATATAACGACATATTCAAATTCGACCGATTTACCACCATGAAGTGCGTTTCTGATTCAGTGTTATTGACGAATTACAGCCTCAACATGGTTGACTCTATAGACAATGGGACTTATGTATTTTGAACTCGACCTCACAAAAATAAAACAACGAAGTGCACCACATCGCCCAACAGTTTAAAATTGCCCACCCCCAAATATTCCTTCGTTTCTAATGATTGCTTAGATATTATCACTTTATGATGTGAATTACTTTAAAACATAAGTATCTTTTCTCCTAAGTTGTGTGTTAGGTTGATTTCTGACTAAGTGATTGGAAATTGTAAAATAAATTCTAATAACCTTTGTTTTGAAGTAAGAGATGAACGATTGAAACCGTAGAATGCAATAACATTCAGAGTTAAACATTGTTGAGATAAACTGTCCATTTACAGCATAAACCATAAATCATACAACTAAAATAAGACGATATATAAATATATTCATGTTTACTGAATAATCATTAGTAGATCATTCATATAAAAGACTATCAGTGGAATCCACGATGAAGATTTCATCTTATCTGGGATTCATCAGAACCAGTGTTGATGTTCATAATTATAGTTAGAAATCAATACATTTATTTTACTTTAAAATTTAGTTCTGAATATTAAAAATAGGGTAGCATAAACTTTTATTAGTAAGAAAACGAAAACTAACCTTATGAGTATCACATGATATACTTGTGACACCTGGTAACCGAAAATCGAATTCTCCAATTGGATAATTAACTTTTTCCATAAAAGGTAAAAGGAAACCACCTAAGCAACAATCCACATGAACTGGTATATTATATCTATGACCTAACTATGGTAAGAGAAAAAAAAAAGAAAATCCTGTTTAAAAATCAATGGTAATCAGTGTATAGCCAAGAAAAGAAAATGTTAATCTAATTCTTCTCAAAACTAAATAAGAACAATAAGAAGCATAAGAAAAATAAAGAGAGAATACGTAATCACTAAGCCTCTGTAGCCAATTCTGAGAAAGGTTATTTGACATTTCCGAAAGTTGATCGAGTCGATGCCCTAACAGATAGTTTGGACCAACCAACATGATTCATTACGATAGTTTACAGTTTCATGAACTGACATCAACTATTGGTTTGAACGCCACTAGGTTTCATTCAACCTATTTCTTTATCAGTAAGGCAAAGTAGGCGATGGTTAAGAAAATGTAACACATACTTGCTACTACCGAAACCCCAGTTGATCAGAATTTATCACAGAATGAACTACTGAACAGGAATATTCAGATTAGTAGTAGCATATTATTGAAATCTGATTAGGCTGCTTTCGATTAGTAACCTACAGATTAGTAATAGTACGATAAGTATGTTGAGGCAAATAATTCTATGATTATTATTACTTGTGTAAGTATTGACGTAGTGTTCAGATTCCGAATTTAAGAGCCTTTAACTTAGAAAAAATATAGTTTACCAAACATCAAGAGATAAAATGTTATGGTAACTGATGTCTAAAGTAGGTTCATATATCCTTAATTCCTTTAGAATTTAGCAACTAATGTACGCCATTATTGTGAGATGAGTATTCTCCAACGTTTCTTGATAAACTCTTATTATTAACCAATCCGATACAATCACTGAACATTCCACTTTCAAACTTTTACTTTTGCAACAACAACAACAAATCACTCATGGCACATGAACAAAGGTAGAACTTTCCTATATGAGGTTATAAACGCTTGATCGAATGAATGTTTCGGAAAGAAGAGAGGATTATTTTTTTCTATCCTTCATTGAATTAAAACATTTAGGAATAAAACAAATAATTCGAGTCCCTGTATGAACATCAACTCTGACGAGTCCCAAATAGGAAGAATCACGCGTCCTGGATTCCACTGCTAGCTACTATCCATCTTTACTTAAAAAGGATAGAAGTGATTCATGAGTTATGACTAGACTTAAATAAATCTTGTGAATTGAAAATATAAATGAATAAAGAAGTAACTAACTTTAGCAATTTCTTGAATAGGATCAATAATTCCATGAGGAAATCCTGGTGCTGAACCAACAAGCTACGAAAACATTTAGAAATATGATGATAACTTAGATACATTAATGAAATCTAAACAATAAGTTCACTAAATACATACATTTCAATTTAAGCTTGAATAGAATTAAAACGTTAGACTAACTTATTAGTATGTTAAATTAATGATTATTAATATTTGAACCAGTTCAAAAACTATTAATATACTTTGAATTGTTAATACTGATGAACAATGATAACTAGGCTATAACCCTATTTCATATGCTTTTGACTTCATGAATAGATCCTAGATTTGATTCCTAAAAGAGATGATGGATGTGGACTGCAAAAAAGTCCTATAATAGAACTTCCTTTTATTCAATGGTTGTCTAGTTATAGTTAATTACTTACTTACGCCATAGGTGACGTAAGTTGGCGAAAGCCAAACAAGCTTTTCGAATCCATACTGAGATTTCATCAGACACCAACCCATTAGGGCTGATCAGACTTCCAAGATAAGTGAAGTTGTCAACGCGTTTGACTACTTCTCTCCTTATCCTTAGTTAAGGTGTTGACGCAGACTAGTCCTGAAACAAAAACTTGCATTTAGAGAGAAAGAAGCCCATTCCAAACATTCTGGCATTGTTGCTCAGTGCTACCAAAAGACTCTGAATTTTATTAGCGTCTTCACTAAACCGGGACTATATCATCTGAGTATACCTGAAGTATGTGGTGATGATGATATCGTTCAGAAGAACGGTGAATTCTCCACGACCAAACCATCTAGGTCAGAGAACAAAACTTCATCAAAAAGTATTACTGTTTGTTTTTTGTCGTGTTTTTTTCTTTCAAATGGTTATCTTTACTAAATGTTGATCTTTCATTGATAACTTTAAGTAAGATCACGAGAAATGTAAATGATACTTTTACAGTATTTTGATCATATCATGATCATGATCATTCTTGCATTATTATGTTCTTTATCCATCAACTAATGTTTATTTCAAATGTCAATAATAACATCACTGATTACATCATATCCTTTTTAATTCAATGATATCTGTCACCTATATATTTCTTACTTCTAATTCACTTTTGAATTGATGACTGTTAGAATCTTGCTGTTGTGACTTTAAGGCCAATTAGTTACCATATAATGTATTCGTCAATTAAAATATGGCTTATTCAATTTTAATACTGTGTCAAAACAATGACGACGTTTGAGTGGTATGAGTTGCGTAGGGTCCTTATTGGTCCTTTGTTCGCCTTACTTACTTGCTTACTTACGCTTGTTAATCCTAATGGACCATAGATCGCCGATCAAAATTCTCCAACTCACTCTGTCCTAGGCCTTCCCTTCTAGTTCTATCCAATTTTTGTTCATTTTTCTCTTGTCTGTCTCCATTTCTCAGTGCAATGTGTTCTTTGGTCTACATTTTCTCCTTTGGCCTTGAGGATTCCATGTGAGGGCTTGTCTTATGACGCAGTTGGGTGCTTTCTTCAATGTGTGTCCTATTTACTTCCAGCACTTCTTCCTGATTTCTTCCTCCACTGGGATCTGGATCGTCTCTCACATAGTAGTGTCTGACCAACGGATCCGAAGTATTTTGCGTAGACAACTGTACACAAACACTTCTGGATGGTGGCTTTCGTAGTCTTCCAGGTTTCCGCCCCATACAGTAGAACTGTCTTCAAATTTGTATTGAAAATTCTGACTTTGGTGTCGGTTGACAGATAGTTGTTTTGAGTCCCAGATGTTCTTCAGTTTTAAATATGCCGCTCTCGTTTTACTGGTCCGCACCTTCACATCTGCACCAGATCCACCATGTTCATCAATGATGCTGACCAGATATGTAAAGGCTTTTACATCTTCAAATCTTCTCCGTCAAGTTTGATTCCATTGTTGCATTCTGTTTCTGTATGTTGAGACCTATTGCTGCTGAGGTTGTTGCTACACTGGTCGTCTTCTCCTGAATTTATTGTTTTGTGTGTGGTAGAAAAACCAGATCATCTGCATCCTAGTTGTCCACTGTATCCCATACTTCCCCTTAGATGTTGACGTCTTTATAATCCAGTCGATCACCGGGAGAAAAAGAAAGGGTGAGAGTAAGCAACCTTGCCTGATACCGGTATTTACCTCGAACGAGTCTGTCAATTGTCCTTCATGAAAGTAATGTAAATCACAAAATCTTTGATTAGCTAAGTAGTTTTACAAGCCTTTATATATAACAACAAAATATGACTCAATATTGAGTATAAGATCAGCATATTTGGTTACTAAGTTGTATGTGTATGTAATAGGTGGTATTAAAAAAACGTTAGTGATTATTCTCAGAAATCTATGGACAAATAATAATTTAACAATGCCATGTTAACTTGATAATCTAAAAGGTAGAATTCAGTCAAAATTTAGAATTAAATAATATTAAACTGAATAATGATTTTGTAGGTATCATTACTAAGGTTTGTCTTGATAATTTCGAATAAATTGAGCATTGGGTAGATTGTTATAAATAAATGCCCCCAAATGCCCGGGTATGGCCGAGAGTAGGGTGGGGCCCGTCCTCCCTCTCCAAATACTCTCACACGGCCACGCGTATATAGCCTCTACCAGGGAAGTCTTACTCACTGCCTTCTCGTGGTGGGGGTGTTGCCTTCGAAAATGAGAGGACGAAAAGCGAATGTCCGGCACCGGCTTTAACCTGATCCCAAACCAATCGTGCACATGGACTCCAGTATTTCGAGGGAACAAATGGCGTCTGAACCAATCATTGGTCACCGGCTACCATGAGACCGCATCTCCTCACGATGCTCCACTGCCTTGTGGGTTAGACCTTTAGGTCAAAGGCTCGAGATGTGGCCCCCTAAAAAAACCACCTGCTTCGATCTGGGCACCCGGTCAGTATCACAGCCCACACACATATCAAATGAGATTTGTGTGGCGCATATATATTTTGTGCCCTCTTGTACCAATATTTATGTGTTCAAATAATAATAATAATAATGATAATAATAATAATAATAATAATAATAATAATAATAATAATAATAATAATAAAGATACAATTGTAGTAGTACAGTGAAACAACATAAGAAATAAAGTGGGAAATTGTTATCTCGATGAGTATAATGAATGGTAACTTTTGGGATCCATTTATGGATCAATACTATGCGTATACATTTTTATCGTATAATTGTTAAATAACTAAACTATTCATATTCGTGTTCCTTTTATTATAAGCTCTATTTTGGCCTATGAACTATTATTATGCCATTTACCATTCTTGAGTTATGCCCAGTCTATCAATTATTATCTCCCACATTCACAGCCACATTTGGTTAAATCTTTTACAAATGTTGTTTCCTATTTTATTGGTACGATGTGGTCTGTCTGGTTGGTATATAAACCGAGTATGCTTGAAATGAATCATTCATATTGAAAAGGCTGAGATTGGAGTTCTGGACTTAACTGGCTGGGTTAGACAGGAAGCAGGACCGATAAGGACTCTAAACTGCTCGTACGGGTTTTATGCGTCATTGGTCCGGTCGATAATTCATTACTCTCACATTATACATTGACAGGGTACACAGGCCACAAGTTATAACAGAAACATTATAATATCTACCATAATGGACAGATAAACGCAGGAAATATAAATTAAAAGTAGCAAATGAGATCAGAAAATGTTAAGTAAAGTAGAAATATAACTGTGTCAATTATAAATGGTGATTTTCCTATAACTATCCATATAAGGAGTCTAATATAAAATAAAGGGAACAGTTAAATATCAAAATAAGAAGAATAAAAGAGACAATAATAGAATGATTGTTTAAGTACAACAGAGCAATATAGAAGAAACAAGATATGATAAACATACCATACATGTATCATCGGTTATGGATGATTTCATTTCAATCATATCTACTTTATATGTAATAGGATCCAATGGTACATGAATTACTTTCATAGAAAAATAATGTGCAGCCTAAAATGTAACAAGTGTAAAGCAAATGATGAAAATGAACTGAGTATGTATTGGAATTGATTGGAAAAAAGGTTAACCCATTATGTTAATTGGTACTTGTTATTAAAATTTATACATAATTTTGATGGGACTCATGATCAGTCATTGTGTGATCCTAGAATGAATTATCCAATATACCGGTTTGAGATATTATCACTGAATGTTTTAGACTTCTGATTGATTATTTTATATTAATTGGGTGCTTGGTACCTGTGTGGTTGCGCCATAAGATTGAGCTATACTATTCAGATTGTAGCGTTAAAGCCTATACGGTGTCTGATTTTCCTGTGAAGCGAGATTGAGATGTACTGCTCGGTTTATAAAACCTAAGCCTGAGTGGTATCTGGTTCTCCTGTTATACAGGGTTGAGCTGTACTGTTCGGGTTGTCACGTGTAAGTCTGGACAGTGTCTGGTTCGCCTGAAAACCAATGTAAAATTACCCTGGCCCACAAATGTATATTATATAACTGACTATATAACTGTAAATTGGGATATTAACAATGATTGATCATTGAGTGATGGACTAAATAGATCTGATTAGTGCTGATCTATTTTTATTAATCAAACTGATAACAGATTACAATATTATATTGAGTAATAGGTGTATGAACCTAAGTTACGTTAGCTCTCATAAGAAAACATTTGAGAGAGACTTGAAATCATTTATTTTACATTCAATTATTAAACATATAGCGTATTACTGTACAGTCATGACGGTGAGTGGTTGATTCTAAAGAAATATTTCTTTCAGAAGGGGTTTTGTGGAGATTATAGTAATATCAATAATTGAGATCATGAGTCAATTGAAGCTAGACCACCATGGAAAACCTGGAATCACTGGACGGCCGTTTCGTTCTATTGTGAGACTCCTCAATGGCAGTGCGCATCCACGACCCCGCCTCGCGGGATTTGAACCCAGGACCTATCAGTCTCGCGCTAGGTGCTTAACCAACTAGACTACTGAGCCAGCCATCCAGTGATTCCAGGTTTTCCATGGTGGTCTAGATTCATGATCTCAATTATTGAAATATTTCATTCCTAAATATCTTAACATTTTTAATGACTCACTCTGTTTATACTATGTGGACAAATTTATTCCTGATCAAAGGACTATTAAATAGACTAATATAAGAGAATTCAAAAAGATAGATAATTTGATGATAGTCTAAATCAAGAACTGATGATCATTGAAAACTAGGGAGTAACAAACATATGTTTCTATCTAGTCTCGAACTCAACGGTTAGTATAAGATTTGGATGTTTTGAGGATTCAATTCATAATGTGTTTATGGGTGTATCCTGTTAATGAATTCAAAAAATAGAGTATATTTCAGTTTGGGAAAGTGAATATAATTAGTTAGAGTAAATAAACCTGTACTTTGTCAATAAATTGCATTTAAAGCTAAAATGAAGCTTTGAAGTTATTCATCGTTGTTTAGATGAGATAGATGTGTGTAATGAATTGTAACCTAAAGTTGTTACAGTATCTTGTGAAATAAGACAATACCTCACAATATAATAAAACACAGTAAGATAAACATCAAAACTGAACTTCAGAAGCAATTTAAATTAGGAAAATAACAAAACATACTTTATCAAATGCCGGATGAGCTGTGACTGGAATTACCCTATAAGAAAAATTGTGAACGGAATCAAAACTTAAATCATAACTAAAAAGGCTTACATTCATTAATATATAAATATATATAATAACAAATGAAGCATTTTGTGTGACCTTAAAAAAAACAACACACAAACATGGTACTACAGTTATTGTTGAAGATGGAATTCTCAGAATCCAATGAATTAAGCAACATGATAATCACGCAAAGTGATTAATGTCATGTGTGTCAAGTCTTTATTAGTGCAAATCGAATTTATTTATTTATTTTAACACAGATATTGGTAAAAGGAGGCACCAAATATATATGCGCCACACAAATCTCATTTGATATGTGTGAGGGCTGTGATACTGCCCAGGTGCCTAAACCAAAACACGTGGTTTTCTTAGGGTGCCACACCCTAAGCCTTCAACCTGAACGTCTGACCCACAAGGCAGTGGAGCATCGTGAGGAGATGCAGTCACATGGTGGCTGGTGACCAACGATTGGTTCAGACGCCATTTGTTCCGTCAAAATACTGGAGTCCATGTGCACCATTGGTTTGGGATACGGTTATAGCGCTGGACATTCGCTTTTCGTCCTATCATTTTCGTAAACAACACCCCCACCACGAGAAGGCAGTGAGTAGGACTTCCCTGGCAGAGGCTAAATACGCGTGGCTGTGTGAGAGCATTTGGAGAGGGAGAGTGGACTCTCCCCACTCTCGGCCAGATCGAATGCTATCGACCATGTTGCAATGTGGCCACCGATTTAGGTGACTCGACATTGCAGGCACTATGTTAAGATTAGATAGTGATTGGAGGTAGCCGACAGGGAACCCTGAACCCGGGTTTCGTGCATCCGGGAGCACCAGTTCTCTAAAGATAACAGGTACACCTTGCTGACGAGTGCCAAGTAGCACGAAACCCGGGTCCAGGCTTTCCTATCGACTACTTCCAATCACCATCTAACATTAGATTATTATATGTAGATATTTCTTTAGTCATAAGCTTTTGGTTGAAACATTAATTACTGTTATACGATTTTCCTTTCCTAATCTGTTGCCAGATTTCATTTAGTTTACCCTACCTAGAGCCACTTTTGGGCTTGTTCATATATATATATATATATATATATATATATATATATATATATATATATGACAGAGGTTGGTTGGTAACTTCTAGAATCAAGGCCAAAACAGAGAGAGAACCTGGGGTACCATAGGTCAATAAGGACTAGTTTAGCGTGTAATTGGTTCAATCGTAGGACATAGAGAGATACAAAATAGACAAAATTATAGTCGAGATTCTGACTCAGGTATAGAATTTGGAACAATACATTTTAACCAATCTGATCATGATTCTACGTCTACAAAGTACGCAGGTAATAAGAAAAAAATAATTTTAAAAAAGGATTGAAATCATCATCAAAATGTACAAAACAACAAACTACATATCTATATAAGCTTTAACACAGCTCAGCTTTGATAATAACAAATTAATAATCAACCTTAATAACTGATATAATTCGAAGTCAATTCATATAGTTTTCAAGAATAATTTGAACAGATTGTTGCCAGGTGATTAAAAGTAATCAACAAAAAGCCCTGTCTGGTCTATGTGTCATAATAATTGGCCTTGGTCAACAAAACTATAATCTGGAAGAAACTTATTCTTCCAGAGAGATTTGAACTTGAATTACTCAGTATCACATTTACACGTGGTAGGGGAATGAATCATTGAGATTGCAGCCAAAATTCTGTTAAGTTGAGTTGGAATCCACATGATGGTTAGAGACATTGAGTGACATGGTTCAACATCGTTCCTGATGGTGTTCAGTGCGCTTACTTCTTACCTTTTTTTAGGTCCTAAGTTCCTAAATTACCTAATGAATTGCTTGGGACATATGGCACCGATGTCTAAAAACAAATTACCTCAAAGGTCAATAACAGTATAAAAACGAAGGTAAAAAATATTATCCGAAGTGAAGACGAAGGGGGTATTCTACATGGAAGCATACAAAGGCAGGTCAGTGATTGGGGCATTTGATGTTTAACCACTAAAACCGTAGATCTAGATTTCCACTCCATTTACTTCAGTTGGGGAATTCATGTGCTATTACTAGCCATCAAATACAAACGATATGGCTTAAAGATAAATACATAGACGCGTGCTCAGTAAATGAGTTACACAACTAGTATATGGAAGCTTACATAGTTGGGTGTTTTATACCATGTTCACGTGCAAGCTGACGATAAGCCAAACATGCAAGAAGAATGCTTTCTGTTCCTCCTGATGTAGTCTAATGGGTAAGAAGAAACAATAAATTTAGAAATGATACTATAAATACCGACTAAAGTTAGATACTGACACTGTTGGATGATGGCTCAGTAGGTTAGAGATTAAGCGTTTGCGTAAAAGGCCCCGGGTTCGTGTCCTGTTATGCCAGGCAGGTTGGTTAAAGAACGGTAAAACTAAAAGCAGCAAACCCAAGGTTCGAGGATGAAGTCGTACTGCTGACTGTACAGAGGTGTGACAGCGGTAGGCTGTTTCCTTCAGACAACCAGCATAATAGCGATGCTGCCATCCCACAAAGAAAGGGTGGGGTTAGAAAAGGTCGACCCTAAAAATGCACACCTTGCCTTATCCCTTAGTGTAGATACTTTTTGTCCACATTGAACTTTTCACTTGGATTGAATACGTTGAAACTAACTAAATGTGGCAAGTGTGCGTTGATATGTATGACTATCTCGTTTCAACTAAGAAACCTTCTGGATGTATTTATTTATTTTAACACATAGGTATTGGTACAAAGAGGCACCAAATACATATACGCCACACGAATCTCAGTTGATTTGTGTGAGAGCTGTGATACTGACCGGGTGCCCAAACCGAAGCAGGCGGTTTTCTTAGGGAGGGACACCACGAGCCTTCGACCTGAACGTCTGACCCACAAGGTAGTCACATGGTAGCCGGTGACTAACGATTGGTTCAGACGCCATTTGTTCCTTCAGGATACCGGAGCCCATGTGCACGATTGGTTTGGGATCCGGTTAAAGTGCCGGATATTCGCTTTTCGTCCTCTCATTTTCGTAAACAACAGTAATGCCACGAGAATTCAGTGAGTAGGACTTCCCTGGTAGAGGCTATATACGCGTAGTCATGTGAGAGCATTTCGAGAGGGAGAGCAGACTCTCCCCACTCTCGGCCGTATCAGGGCATTTGGGGGCTCTGGATGTATGCACGTAAACCGCTTATTATTTTTTATATTACAGTTGAAGACACATTTTTCTGTCATTTGAGATGTGGACGTTTCACTGTTTCCCCCTATTTGAATGATCTTGACAACTGTATGTGTAATAGATTATTCTTACTTAAACCACTATGTTGATCATTGTCGAGTACGCATATAATTTGTTTGGCCTAGAGAATTAAAAACGAATTCACGAAGTATACATTATACTAGTACGTTAAGCTTTGCTAAAGATTTACTGTTTAACTCGTTAATACTGCACAATATTTGGTGTTAAATTCGGTGAAAGGTAGACAAATTGCTATTAGTTTTTTGGGAAAAGTAGATATTTTGAGGAAGGTAATAGTGGTAATTTCGAGACATTTCCATTGAAAGGGGAAATTTTGGGAAAAAATACGCACTATTGATCCCGGGTCAAGGGAAAAGAAGATATTTATAATCCATTGTTGCCTAAATTCACACCGACTTCGTTTTAAGACTTTTCCCCAAGATCACCTATATTTCTCCTTTTTTGTTTGCCTGGGATAAATTTACTTGTGAACTTTATTCTACTCATTGACCAATATAGTTGGATGTAGTAACTAGCAGAATGAAAACATAAAGATAATCCCAAACGGTGAGGGTGTTATTTTTTTCGGAGAGGTGATGAAGCGAAAGTCAGACTATTTGTATGATTCTGGCGACCTGTATGTAGCAGAAATGCAAGTTGGGTACATTCGAGTAAAACAATCCAAATTTAGACCGTTAGAAACTCCCAACTTTCCAATTGCCAAGTCATTCTTTTGTCCCCACACATTTAAACTTGTTTGGACTTATAGAATTGTGCAAATTCAGCCAAAGCAAAGTCATTAATATCAACCAGTGTTTCAACGCCTAATGACAGTGCAATTTGGGGTCAGTAAGCTTAGTTTTGGAGTTATCTTCAGTCTTTTCGATCGCCAAAGATGAATAAGAGAATGACGAAACTGTCTGCTGGCGTTGTCGACTGTTTGGCTAAACAGTTCCGTAGGAACTCGGAAGGATAGGGACACACGTCGTTCCTATTTCGTCATTTCTGTCTACGCTTTGATTGACTGCAGTTCGGATGAAGTGAAAGATGAATTTTATATAAAGCTTTCTGAACTTCTTCTAAAAGCTAAGCACTCGGACATGGTACTCGTAGCAGGTGACTACTTTAATACCCAAGTAGGTAGCTTGAGCCAAAGAGAAAAATATTTAGGTGGATATTTTGGTATTCCGGCTCAGTGAACAGATAGTGATGACCGTCTGCTCAAACCGTGCTCAGACAATCGTTTATTTCTAACAAGCACTAATTTTAAACATAAAAAGAGACATCGTCTAACATGGCGACCCCCTGCACCAAACTGACGATGTACTCAAATAAACTATATTACTATCAGTCATAGTTGGAGGGGTTCGATTGAAGATTACTGCTCGTTCTGAAATACATGTTTAGACTCTGATTATGCTCTAATACGAGCACGCACCTGTTTGCACCTCAGTGGACGCAGAAAAGCCACATTAAAAAGACTGATTAGAATTGAACTCAGTGATGATAAGACCAAGGGTAAATACCAGGAACAACTAAGGTCACACTTGGGCAATTTTGAAAACGAGGGTGACCCAGATATTGCCTGCTAAGATATACGAACATCTGTGGAAATAGTGGTGGCATCTGTTGATGGTTTGAAACAAAGGGTCATAAAAGACTAGTGAATTTCTGCGATATCTATTGCACTGATAGATTGTCGTAAACTTATTTCATCAGGCACGATGACGAGCGAGAACAAACCAGACCTAGGTTAACTAAAAGTCTACGGGACGACCGTGAACAGTGGTGGGTAACGAAAGCAAAAGAGATGGAAAAGGCAGCGGCTGTAGGTAACATAAGACAGCTTTTCAGACCAATAAAAGAAACCAAAATTAAGAAGCCAAATGTGAGATAATTTCGGAAAAAGACGACACTCTTATCTACTCTAAACCCGGACGTTTAAAACCATGGGTGGAACATTTTAAGGAGCAATTCAGCTGGCCTTCAGCTACTCTACAGCTACCCACCATTTCCAAACAACCTAAATGGAACATTGAAATAAGTCTACCAACTCTAATTGAAGTTCAAAAAGTTATAACTAATCTGAAACGGCGAAGAGCAGATGATTCAGTTAGATTAACTCCCGTCTAACTGGTCACAATTATTGATTGTCCCGATATATAAGAAAGGCTCAAAACCATCCTGTGATAGCCGTAGAGGGATTAGCTTGACTAATATAGAGTCCAAAATACTAGCTTCAATAATTATCGGTCGCCTAACTAAGACTCGTATACTGCAAACATGAGAAAAGCAGGCTGGCTTCAGACCTGGTTGTGGCTACATCGACCGCATATTCACCATTCGTCAGATTCTAGAACACAGGCATGCTTATTATTGTTTTTCTTGACTTAAAAGCAGCATTTGAGTCAGTAAACCAAGAGGTTCTGTGGCAGTCTGTTATTGAACGGTGTACCTCAGAAGTACATAAACCTTGGGAAGGCTCTTTACTCGAACACTACTAGTAGATTCAAAGCTTGTGGTGAAATGTCATCTGATTTTAAAACCTCAAGTGGTGTCCGGCGAGGCTGTCCACTATCGCCATTTCTGTTTAATTCCATCATGGACCTACTGCCGGAAATAACGTTCTCGTCGTTGGAATTTTCAGAAACTGATATTTTTTCAGCCGGATGACATGGTCCTGTTTGGCGAAGGCGCTGATAAAAGTTTTTTGATAGCATTGAGCAACAATGTAATGATGTTTGGAATGCATTTCTTTCCCTCTAAATGCAAATTGTGGCTTCATGAATGGCCTGCGTCGACGACGTCACTTATCTTGGACACAGGATATCATGGAATGATGGCAAATCACTTGATGAGGTTTGGAATCTTCATAGACTGAAATTGTTGAGACACGTAATACGCATGCTCACTCGCCTATTACCATTGCTCACACTGCTGACTAGTGTTGGAGACGGTTGGAAAAAATTAGGGGTGGCCAAACCAAAACGTGACACCAGTCCATAAAGTCACTAACTCCTGGTCGGAGCCATGTTGATAGATGCAGACTACTTGATTGGGGTCGATGTGACTATCATAATCAGTGGTTGAAGACTCTGGGTGACATGGATCAGAATCGATCACAATGGCGTAGGTGTATACACTTTCTCTTCCCTTAAACCGTGAGATTAAATTATTTCATACCTTTGTTTCTACGAACTAATTCTTTCTTCCTGTATCATATCTTCAAATGAAATCTTTTTATACTCTTCTTGAAGTAACTGCTTATATGAATTCGGTGTTTATCTTGTACTAATGAGGTATGAAAACTTAGACCGAGGCATATATATGCCTGGTCGTACGTTATAGCTGGCTGACTGATATTAAGACGATTGAACGAATAAACAGATTTTACGTGTTACAGAATACATACCAAATGCTTTCATGGATAAAACATTCGCATCAGGTAATTTTTTTACCACAAAATGTTGTCCATGTTGACATTAAAAAACATTTATTCTGATTCCTAAACATCTTATTACTACCTTTAAAGTACATAGTACAACCAACAATAATTTACAGATTATTTAAATTAGTTCTATGACGTAATGAAAATCAGAATTTTGATATTATTTGTCCATCAGGTTGTATGTAAATCGATCCTAAAATGAGAACAAATGTGGCGTAGAGCCCCCAAATGCCCTAGTGCAGCCGAAGGTGGGGAGAGCCAACTCTCCCCCTTGAAATGCTCTCACATGGCCTCGCATATACAACCATTGTCAAGGAAGTCTTACTCACTGCCTTCTCGCGATGAGGGTGTTGCTTATGAAATTGAGAGGACGGAAAGCGAGTATCCGGTGCTTTACCCGGGTGGTGGATATGGAGGATACAACTAGGGAAGTTGGAAAACCCTGATTACAAATTAATGGTCCACATAGGCCCCAGGATCCTGAGAGTAAAAATGGCGTGTGGACCTATCATTAGTCACCGGCTACCATGGTACTGCATCTCAAAAACGTTGCTCCACTGCTTTGTGGATTAGACCTTTAGGTCAAAGGCTCGGGGAGTGTCTCCTTAAGAAAACTATCTGCTTCGGTTTGGGTGTCTGAGCAGTATTTTAGTCCACACAAAAATCGAATGACGAAGTGTGGCGCATATCTATTTGGTGTCTCCTTGTATCTATGTTTGCATTAAAAAAAACAGGGTATCGGATCGAATGAAAGACTTCACTCCTACTCATTAAACAATCTCAACTTTTTATAAGGTATCATACTACAGAAACGTACGTATTGCTGTTCTTTGACGCGTATTTGAATGTGACAATGTTTACCCTAAAAAGAGTCATATGGCTGTTACAACATGTGGAAATGAAGTTTTGTTAGTCTGTGATCTTTCTCATCTGTAATCGATTATTTGTTAATAAACTAACAATACATAGTCATAATATTTTGGGTGGACGTTCTGTGTATAAATAGTATCTTTGATTTCATAATATATATTCGTTTTTATTCAACCAAGTCGTTAGTAGTTCTGTCTTTTGAAATATACTCTGTTATGATGTAAGGCTCATGTACCACGAATAAACTATATCAGTAATTACATATCATCTATATCTAACCAAAAGTTAAGCTAATTAAACAGCTATAAAAATCACACTGGTACGTTTTAATACAGAGACAATGCAATGGTTTGAAAATAACTTAAACTTACGGTACCGCATGCATCTTCATCTCCATGGAACATTGTAACACACATACGTACAACCTCAGCTTCCATTCGTCGAATATCAACAAAAAGCTCCGGATGTAATGGATTTGTCCAGAGGAATTCCTTATAGATCTGAACACGGAATAGATAGTGGCGAGCATATGAAAACTGGTATTATTAATCATCGTCATCATTAGCGTACACAAAGTGGAACTTGACACGTTTGTGCATCGGTTCAAGTTGGCATATCACGTTAGCACATCAAAGTAGAATTATTTTAATACAAACGTCAGAGTATTAGAAGGAGTAACAGCATCGGTTGTAGTAAGAAAAGTTTACGTACGGAAAAACAAAAAAATATACGGAAATTTCGGGATATTACCATGCCAGAGATAAAGACATAATGAAAACAGATTTGTTTAGGCAAACACCAAAGACCTAAAACTTTAGTCTGATAAACTTTGCACTTTGTCTTAAAGTAGAGAATCGAAAACAAGACAGTTGGTTGGTGGAGCTTACTTAAATCTGACAATAGTTTACACGGTTTAATTGATGGATGTGTGGCAATTACTACTGAAAATACTAGGTGGTTGTCGTGCTACATTGTAAATGTATTTAAGATATGAATTTCAACCTTGCAGTCCAAAGATAATACATTTAATGCGATAGATAGAAGCCCGAAGTTCGATATCTATAGAAGTTGTGGGTTCAAGCCGCTGAAAAGTCCCGGATTATAATGACAGATGCATTTACCCATACTAAAGAGTGAGTAAAATAGAAAAGTACGTACTATACTTGTTTGATGGTTAAAAACTACTTGAAATGTAAAATTATGGAGTTGATTTTTCCCGTTAATGAGGATATAAGCACATTGTTATAATTCACGAGAAGCCGAGCAGTTTTAATATACTGAAAGCAATCTAACTCTTATATTTTAAACACAGAAAATTTTTTTTAAAATCATAATTTGTTTAAACAAACAATTGGCAGACTCCCAACCATAATAATTACCTGTGTAATTTGATCCTTTAAGGAGATAATAAATAGGCGTGAATTTTATTTTGCAAAGTAGTAAATATTCGTATGCTGTGAAATGCTGACAAAGGGAGTAGATAAGTCTGGACATAATTTGAAAATTGATTTGTGGTTGAAAGTGATACTTCATGTCTTAGAGTTTTTGAGTAAATCAACATCATAATCCCATATTTGAATAAACCAAAGGCTATGTAAAACTCTTTTTGTCAATTATACTTGACAAAGTTTGGTTTGGTCATACTATGTAGTTTTTATAGATCATACAAAGGAATTGAGTTGAGATCAATGGCCTTACAAAAGTCACAAGAGACAAGTTTTTGAGTTTTCCAATGAGGAAATACTTACCATAGATGATGCTCTTAAGCTTCTTTCCAACCACGTCTGAACGCAAGGTTATGACAATGTAGGTGGTCGTTAGTGATTTATATTATGTTTACACGTATGGATAGGAAGTATACTATTGGCTATCAAGTTATTCATTATTTATAGTTCAAAAATACAACTACACCTGAACAGACGAATGCTCTTTCGAATACCTGTGTGACTTTTATCACGATCTAACTCCGGATATGATCACTAAAGCTGAAAGCTTGGGTACACAATAAAATACAAATAGACAAAAAGTCCTAGTCAGTGTGTAATGTGATAACTTACATCCGAGCACAAAACTGTAAGAGCTTTATCTCTTGGGTAAACGCTTCCAGAAACAAATCCTTCGTCCCACTTTATATATTCTACAATACATTCAACAACTGCATGCTATAAACAAACCCAATGTTTTATACTTCCGAGCACTTGATAGTACATTCTCCTAAAAAATTCACATTACTATAGTATGAATTACCACAGTTTGTCCACAGATAGGAAGGTTCTTTTCAAATACAATATGTGAGGTTTTTTTATGAACCTCTCTATGTATTTCTTTTGAAGCTTCATCTATCTTCTTATTGATGTAGGATCTTATAAAGGGAGTCTTTCTCAGACAAGCGAAAAAGGAACATGCTAGCCTGCCACCAGATATTTCTTAACAATAATTGTTGTAACCATCACTTACCGAAAACTGAGAAAATGAGTATAAATGTTATGGATGATACTATTAATGCAGAGAAATCGCAGTCATGCAAGAGGTCTATATATAGGTCGAATCCAAATTTTGCTGCCGAAATTACATCTAAGAGCTGGAAATTTGAAAGACGATGACAAACAATGTACTTACTAAACTATCCATTCGGCAGAATCCAGACCTTGAAACTGATTATAGCGCGGTTTCATCGGTAATGAGAATTACTAAACATTTAACCAGAAGAACAAATGAGGAATTAGAAGTGTTGCAAACTGAAAATAATGGACCTTCTTGTAACACTTTCACTTTCTGTAATTTTAAGGCGATTCATGGTGGCCACCAGTTATATATTTTTTAAAACCAGTTTTTATTTCTATGGAAATAGAATACGGTTAGCCTGCAGCTTTTGTCACTCCTTTTCTTTCCCCTTCTTTCAGTATCAAATTTTCTCCGAAACAGTTATTTTGAAGTTTTGATTTCACTTCTCTCTGTTGCACTCTCGAAGAAATTTTTTCTGTGAGGGATAAATTATATACCATAAAATGTTGCTTTGCCATAATTATACCTTGATGGCAGACTCAAGGTGTTGTTCTAATAACTGGCTTTTCATGTAACAGAAATATATATATATATATATTCATGGGTGAATTGTGTATGGATTTCTTCTCTGTCGTTCAAGTGTCACTCCTGAAATGAAACTAGTAATGTGTGAATTGTTTTTGTTTTGTAATTGATATACGAAAATAGTCACGTGATGCGACTCAGTTTATCGCGGCTGGTTTTCGTTCTTCTTCTGAATTAAACGGATTTTGATTATATTTGTATTTCAAGTCACTTCTAAGAGTTTTATCTCGTTCTCTGTACTACAAATGATAAGGGTGTTCCAGAGCATTTTTTGTCTCAATAGGCGACAAGTGTGAAGATTTATGCGAAAGAAAAGGTTTTCTTCACTGTATGTGTCCACCATATGAATGGCTCAGTAATATGAAAATACAATCCTCGAAAACCATCCATTGGTTCTTTCACTAATGCTTTTTAACCGGTTTTCTAGTTTGAATTGGAGGCCGCTAAGATTAATATCTTCACTTCTGGCTTCCATTTGCTAGAGTGGATTTACTTGAAAGGCCAAAGCAATAATGAACTGAAGCAATATAACTGCTTATACACTTTTCTCTATAGGTGGAATGTATTTGCTATTATTAACGTCAACGACGTGAGCGAGAACTAAGTCAAAGACTGAAGAAGAATGCAGTATATCATGTTTAATGGTATCCTTAATCTTCTGGATTCATTCTACTGCGATTATAAATTTCAACGGTTCGTAGCCGAGTGACTTTTTCAAATGACACTGTCACTAAGTAAGCCCAGTTAACAGAAGATGAGTAAAAGTTACCTACTCGGAAGGTTTTGCAACAGCTTGACCAGAACTGAAGTGTATTTAAAAGGGTCTCACTTGTTAAACATTTAGGTCAGGTACACTAAAAGATAACAGCGTCATTGTTTTTTTCATGCAACATTAGTGAACCATAACTGTGATATATTTACTTGGTCTTAGAATATACCAACTCACACCGAGATGAATAAAGGTAGTGCAAATATCGTGGTTTCGTTATTAGGTTTTTTGATATTCCATCTGGATAAATGAAATGATCTAAGTTATTGAAGCATGCAGTGTGGTTACCAAATTTTTCTTATACAGTCAGGCATGAGATCGTTTAACTCTGAATGTTGCGAAGTCAGACGGTGCATATAAAGCCCACCATTTATAGTGTTGCAAAGCAGTTTATGCATGGAAGTCATAACCTTTATAGTTTTTCTTCTATTCATAGGACAATTTATCTGTGAATGTTGCAACGAATCAACCTGCCTTTTAGTTTATTCGCCCATACATCTGACCTACAGATTAGTTAAATGATGACTGAAAGTTTTGAAGGTTTTAGGAAAGCCAGTTTCATCGACTTACAAAGTAAATAAGTTAACAAAACATGCAATAGCGTTACAGGACTGATGGATTATGAGTATCGCCTATTTGAACTTACGTTTTGTATCGGAAAAATGGCTAAGATACCATTCCATAGGACTTTGTTGTATCTCTTCTTGAGAATAAACTTTAGTACTAATTCGAAAGTATATACGCATACATCAATAATTTTACTCACAGAAAAACTGGTAGATTGGCATAGAAAGAAATAGTAATGAAGGACGAAAAATCGCAGTCAATATAAAAATGAATGCTATATACAAGATAGAGTCTTTACTGAATACTAGCTGAAAATAGAGTATGTTCAACGAATCGAATTGCATGAAGCTACTCAGAGTAAGAGATCATGATAGAGAAAATATGTTCAACAATGTTCTGACACTAGATATGCGAAATCTCATGAGGTGGCAGGTGACCTAAAAAGCACAAATAGCAATGTTATAACCTACGGTCACTGTAGAGATCAACAAAGTGGAAGCAACATGGAGATGAAACGTGGTACAATTAACATGCTGTCATTAGCACAGTTAAACAAACGAGCACAGTAAAACAGTCACTGGTACAATTGGTGATAATAATAATTGTTTTCATTGAACCAATCGCGTTTTGTAGACAAAAGTAGGTCACTACAGGAGCCCCGCGCTAGAAAGGGTTTACACTTTCGATAGTTAGCGTTTTGATTCGTGGGACTGATCGGCAGAAGTGCGGTTGTAGGACGGAGGAAATTGGCGGAACAGGAAGTGATCGTTGATTCTCGAGTTGCCAACGAAAGTCTTTTGCGCAGAACGGTACCAGAAGTGTGCTGTATTTGTTGGTCGAATTAGCATACCACACCAGAGTGGGTTGTGTCCAGGATCTGATGATTGCGTTCGTAAGGATGCGAACCAGAAAACGCTGCAGACGTAGGACGAAACCACGTTGAGCCAAGAAACCGGAAGCGACCATAACGACCAAGCGTATGCCAGGCGAATTCGAAACCAGATAATCGACTGAGTGCGTTGACTAGAGCGTGAGTGGCCAAACGAGCTTTTGCCAAAGTTGACTGAAGTCGACGTTACCAAACGGGCGATGGTCGAAGGCGTGAGCTCAGGATACAAAAAAAATCAAAAAAAGAAAAGTGTAGCATGCGTGTAGTATAAGAATTGTCCTACACCGTTTCCAATGTTGACTGTGCGGTTAGTCGCGAAAGCGTACGGTAATCGTACTCGGCGACCGGAACGTGAGACGATAGTCTCGTTCGTACTTCGTGAGCCTGCGATCACATCCGAGGTCAAGGGCGACTTGGTCTGTCGATCTGGACGTGCGACGGAAGTCTCGTCCGTAGATGGTGCAGATGACGCATGCTGTTGACCGAGACGTGAGAACGAGGTCTCTGATGTATCTAGCGTGGGATCCGAGGTAGACGTAGAGATCCCGCTAGAAGGTTTGATAGGTCTAGCATTGAGTCTCAAGTTATCGGGTAGGGCACTATCATCGATGTGTGCTGTTTTGAGACGATCAATGCTGACGATCTCGACGCGGCCCTGTCGATCAACCTTGAAGGTCTTTTCGTGACGAGAGATCACGTGAAAAGGTCCTTCGTAAGGCTGTTGCAAAGGTTTGCGTACCGAATCTACTCGTATGAAAACATGTGAACAGGTAGATAACTCTCGAGGGAGAGCGACCTGTCGATGTTGTATTTGAGTTGACACCGGAGACAGCGTTCGCATAAATGCAGACAGTCGATGGAGGTAGTCTGATTTACCGAAATCATTACTGCTCCGTGGTGTGAAGAATTCCCCAGGCAGACGCAATGTCGTGCCGTATACAAGTTCAGCGGCGAAACATTGGATATCTGCCTTTAAACTCGTTCTGATGCCTAAGAGAACGAGCGGTAAGGTTTCGTACCAATTATCGTTTTCGTGTGCTCGGAGAGCACTTTTAAGTTGGCCGTGAAACCTTTCGACTAAACCATTCGATGCTGGATGGTAGGCGGTAGTGCGTATGTGTTCCGTACCAAGCAGCCTGGTCAGTGAGGAGAATGATGCGGACTCAAATTGTTGTCCTCGGTCAGTCGTGACAGTCGAGGGACAACCGTACAAAGCTATCCATCGTTCTACGAAGCGGTGAGCAACTGTCTCCGCCGTGATAGATGTGATGGGAATAGCTTCGGGCCATCTTGTAAAACGGTCAATGCACGTGAGTATGTGATCATACCCATGCGATGGTGGCAATGGTCCTACAATGTCTATATGAACTTGATCAAAGCGAGCATCAGGCGTAGCGAACGTGTCAATGGGGGCAGCTACGTGCCTGTGCACTTTTGATCGTTGACACTGTAGGCATTGCTTTACCCACATACGAACATCTTTATTCATGGACGGCCAGACGTATCGTGCAGCGATGAGACGTAATGTGGCTGCAATATCTGGATGAGACAATCCATGAAGGACATCGAAGACGAGACGGCGATAGGCAGAGGGTACGATGGGTCGAGGAAGACCGGTAGAAATATCACATAGAATAGTACCTGACCTAGTAGCTAGGGGTACTTCCTGACACTGAAGGGACGATGATTGTGGTGCTTCTGTACAGACAGGATCGTTTGCTTGTGCGGCGGCCATAGCAGGAAGATCGAGCACCGGTAAAGTAACTGCATTCGTCTGGATACGTGATAGAGCATCGGCAACAAAATTCGACTCGCCTTTAATGTGACGAAGGTCTGTATTCTCGTGTTGAGTAGCGGTCAGACTTGGTATGCAGGGCATACGTTAAGGGCTTATGGTCTGTGAATAAAATGAATTGGCGTCCTTCTACTGCGTGCCGGAAATGTTTGATGGCGCAAAAGACTGCAAGCAGCTCGCGACCAAACGCGCCATATCTCGTCTCCGTGGGAGTAAGGCTTCGTGAGAAAAACTCAAGTGGTTGCCAACTACCGGAGATATTCTGTTGCATGACGGCTCCTATAGCAAAATCTGATGCATCAACCGCTATACTAAGCGTGGCTGATGGGTCAGGATGAGCGAGGAGTGTAACTTCAGCGAGAGCCGTTTTGATCTCTGAGAATGCAGTACGTGCGGTATCGTCCAATTCTAATTTGCGTGGATTACCGCGTAGTAAATCGTTTAATGGTCGTAACCATTCTGCCGCGTGAGGGATAAAACGTCGGTAGAAGTTAACCAAACCGAGAAAAGCCTTCAGTTCCTTGATTGAGGACGGCACGTTGTACTCCTTGATTGCTCG